CTCCCTTCCAACCCCAACATTCTGTGATTCCCCCTCACCCCAGCCTCTATCCCTAGCAGATCCAGAAACTTTCTCTTGCTTGGGCTGGTGCTACCAGGAGGGGAAAAACTCTACCCGATGCTCATTTTGCTCAGAAAAGCCTCTGGTCCCAACGTTGGTTTTTTCTCTCCCACAGTTCCAGGAGGAGCAGCTCAGGAGGGAGCTGGAGGAACGCCGGAGGTTTCCGCTGGAGCAGCGGCTGAAGGAGCACATCATCGGGCAGGAGAGCGCAATAGCCACAGTGGGAGCAGGTAGGACCCCTCCCACATCTTCTGTTCCGCAGGGAAAACAACGCTTGTTCCATCGAGCCCTGATCTGAGGCTGCTTTGAAGCAGATCACCAAGGTCGGGGAGGGACTCAGCAGGTATTTCTTGGCTCTCAAAGAGAACACTTGCTCTTCATCATGAGAGGGGCAGTTTCAGGTGCAGCAGCTCGAAGGTCAAAGCTGGTCACCACAAAGATGAACCAGAGGGCCGCAAAGATAATCCAAGGGCTGGAGCACCTCTGCTATGAGGACAGGCTGAGGGAGCTGGGATTGTTCAGTCTTGAAAAGAGAAGACTTCGGGGGGACCTAATAGCTGCCTTCCAATACCTGAAGGGAACCTACAGGGAGGCTGGGGAGGGACTTTTTACAAAAGTTTTCACCCATAGGACAACGGAAAATGGATTTAAGTTAAAGGAAAACAGATTTAGATGGGATCTTAGGAAAAAATTCTTCAGTCTGAAGCACATTGCCTTTCCAAGTCTGCTCCTGTCATTTTCTGCCTGGGAAGCCACATTGGTTGTTGGTACTATGGATTTGGTAGTTCACATAGCAAATAGAGCAAGCCTGGAGTATTTCCTTAGTGTTCTCTTGGCTGGATCTGCTGCAAGCCCTTGGTCCTCATTCCCAAACTGGGGTGCTGCCTGCCTTTTTCTTCAGGTGGTTTTCCTGCACTTCAGATTCTAACTTGTCACCGTTTAAAGAAATATTAAATAAGCACGGGGAATAAATGAGGAGCCTGGCCTCTTGTGGCTGTGATGGAACTGTACAAGCGTGCAGGGAGGTTTGGAGGAAAAGGTGATGGTTTTCATCGGACCAGATGATGGAGTCGGGGGGGAAAAAAAACCAGACCAGCTTTTAGGCACACGGGCCCAAACAGGAACTGTGGGTTTCGAATGCTTTTTCTCAGTGCCAGCCTCTCAAAACTCAGGAGGAGTTTATTTCATGCCAGACGCTGTCAGGAAATCAAAGCTCCAGCGAGACGGGCTGGGTTCGATTTGCCTAAAAGCCCACGGATCCCAGTAATAACTCCTTGAACCATCCCACTTTGGTACCTGGAAACCAGGGCGGGGAGGTGAGACCGGGCTGAGGCCGGGGCAGAACTGAGACTACGCACTGTCCTGAATAGAGAAATCTAAATAGAGAAACCGAAATAGAGAAACCTAAATAGGGAAACCGTAGTGATCTTAGTTAACAAAGAGAAGTCCTGTGTGATCTGGAAGCCCTGGAAAGAGCCAGAGCTCTCTCTGCTCCCCCCGCTCTAAGCCAACAGAGCCCCTCTGTGTTTGGAGAGCGGCTGTGCCTGGGGGCAGCAGCGCTCGGGCTAATTGGGAAGCTTTGATTAATGGGCAGTGCCTGTTTCTGACACAGGTGGTGTTTCTGCGCATTAGAGCGCCTGCCTTTATGGAGGTTTCTCTTATTGAATTATAGGGAATGTGCTTGATACCCGCGCAGCCTCGGGACATCGGACCGAAGGGGAGCGAGAGAGTCTCTGTCCCCTCCTCCCCTCCTTCCCTTCTGCCCCGTTTCTGTTGTTTTCTTGAATTTAGAGACACTACTTTGTTTCTTCCGAGCGTTTCCTCGCTATTTTCGTTACTTGTTTTATTCCCAGCTGGTTCTTCTGCCACTTTGCAGACTCCACGTGCCTCCCGTTCCGCGCTCGGTTCGTTGGCCGGGAGACTCCGCCGCGCGCCCCAGCTCCGTGAGCCGCTGTGTTTAATTTATAACCGCCGCCTTAATTGAATAATCTGATTTAATCCGTCACTCGGTGCATGATCCAAACAGTCTCCAGAGGGGCTCAGCCGAGAATACAAAGGGAATACGCGCTCTGGGTTCTGTCCGGGGTGGCGGGGACGTGCGGGGGCTGCGACTGCCCGGGGTGCTTGCACGGAGTTTGCCGCAGTCAACAGCCTCGGCATCTCTGCCGCAGAGGGAAGAAACCCTTCTCTGTCGTTTCCACGGGAGGCATGTGAGCCCTGCTGCTCTCTTCTCTGCTACACGAAGTGGGACAGACGATGGCAGCACTGTGAGAAGGTGGATGATGATGATGGTGATGAAGTGATCGCAACAGGAGCATCTCTGAGGGTACAGGATTTCTCCCAGTGCTCTTGACTGGGGATGGCAACGATGGGAGGCGTTTGGCCGTGGCCAACTGGTGCTCTCTCTTCTGCGGGTAGAGGTGTTTGTTGGGTTTTAACAGAAGGCACATTAAATATTCCATCTCATAACATTTAAAAAAAAACCCAAAAGAAACAGGCAGGGCATCACTGTGATCTCCCAGGAGCAGCCTGGATGCAGCAAATGACCAGCTAAAAGACATTCTGTGATTCTAGGATTCTGTGATTGTGCTTCCAGGGCACTTTCCTAAATGAGTGTTTCTGAATCTCGTTAGGTCTCGTTTGCCTTTCTCACCTGAAGATGCACCAGGGTGAAGCAGCACCTGCTGCTTAGGGCTGCACAGGCAGCATCTCCTCTCTGAGGTTATAAACCAAAGGAGGGAGTTTCTTGAAAGCGTACGTATTTTTCGTTTTGCTTTGTGATCTCATATCCTCAGTGTTATGGTGGAGAAAGAACCCCTCTTTTCGACAGATTCAGAGCTTTTGCCAGACAGTGCTCACTTAGAGGCAGGGGGGTTCAAAACCAAACCTTCCCGGTGCTGATTTTCTAAACTTTTTGTATTGAAATGACCTGTTGCGGCTCTTCGTGAAGTTAAATAAGGAGGGAGCAGGAAAAAAGTGCTGTTTGCTTTTTAGTGCGGGGATTTTGAGTAAAGGGTAGTGGAGAAAATCTACTTTCTGATCATCGAATTGCCAGTTTGGCACACGCTCATCAGCTGTGATGTAGAAATTGTCGGCTGGCGTTTCAAAGCCGAGGAAAAAACGAGCAAGGAATATCATCCTGCCTTGATCCAAAGGAAACTGGACAAGACGGGATCCTTTACAAGTTCTGACTTTGTCGGACTTTGCAAGGAAACAGCTTTGGGCTAATTTTGGGGTTCATCACCTCACAGAGCCACCGGTGACGGGGCTGGATGAGCGCTTCTTCGGAGACGCGGTCGATGCCAAACCTGGACGAAGGAGAGCGATCCCACGGTGGGTCCGAACCTGGAGACCTCACCCCGTTGTACCCTGGGCAGTCGGAGAAGCGCCGCTGAATGAATTGATTTGATAAATGGACATTTATTACACTCACAAATTGGCTGAAACCAATTTCGGTCACATCAACCCCTGATAACTGCTCGGGTATTGATTTGTGTAAAGTAATACAGTGAATTTATCAGTTCAATAGCGAGCTGAAGGGCCTCTCGGAGACACCACGCCACAGTTACGCCGTTACAGATGTACGAAATAAAGTGAGAGCGCCGCGGCGACGCTGCAAATGGCTCCGAAGAAGAAGGCCCGGGCGTCATCGCCAACCTCTTTGCTCGGACATTGGGTCTGAACGTCTTAATGAGATTTCAGCAGAGGAGTCAATGCGTGACCCTACCTCTTCTTATTTATTTATTTCCGCCCTCCCTGAAGTGATGGGAGGAAGGAGGCGACTTTCCCAGCGTGGAGTTCTTGGCGTGTTTTATCGACGTGGGCGGCAGCCGCTTTGTGGGGACAAACCCCGAGGAGGGGAGCGCTCCCGCGGGCTTTCCTGGCTGAGGTTTTCATCCTTCAGGCTGACACTGGGGTCCTGCTTTGTTCCTCTTCTCCAACTTAGAAGAAGCCTCCTACGGCCGTGGCTGCAAGACCCAAGGGTGCCGTGGTCCCTCTGCGGTGACATCCAGAATTTTACAGGTTTTCTGAGCCTGAAGAGCACTGAAGCTCATTTTTCCGCTAAAATAACTCATTGTTTTAAGGCTGCTTGTAGAAAAAAGGTTTTACCTCATCACCACGTTGATCTAGCTAACCTGTTCACGTTGAGCAACCTTTCCCAGCCGGCATCTCACGTTAAATCACGAGCGCTAACGCGACGGTAGTTTTTTATGGGGTGTTTCATATCCCTGGAGCTGCTCCGAGCGAGACGAGCATTTACCCATAAAGTCTGGGATCCTGCTGCAGAGGGGAAGGGGAAAAAAAAAAAAAGCCGCGCTTCACCTTGCTGCTTTGAGCCCATCGAACGCAGCTGACCCCTGCGAGTGGTCACTCCGTGCCCTGAAGCAAAAGTTTATTGCCGTTATTATCTGAGCTGAAATAGCCGCAGAAATTGTCGCCGGTCGCGTCGTTCCCCTCATCAATTCTTATAAAATATCTCCACCCCGAGTGTTTGACCTCACGGCAAAAGGGCAGGGAAGGAGGCACATGCGGGCAGAGCCAGGCAGGGGCTGGGGTGGCTCCAGACCCTCCTCTTCCTCCTCCTGCCGTGGCTGTTTTGGGGGGATCGTGTGAGCCCGGAGAGGCTGGAGGGCAGGACTGGATGCCCGCTGGGCCTCTCCTGTGATTTCTGAGATCCAGGAGGCCGAGCAGCGACCGGGCAGGGGGAGCCGGAGCCAGTCCTGCAGCCTGGCTCTACGCCCGACTTAATTAAGCCTTGACAGGAGTCAGGACTTATTAACGAGGGTAATGCATCTCGATTGAGTCCGGGCATAAACTCATGGCGCTGGGGCTTGAGTTCACACTAACTTCGCTGTCCCTGGGTGGATGAGCCCTGGACTTTAAGGTTAATTTGGGCTTTTTTTCAGCTGTTGGGGGTGACACCCTGCGTAGCACGATGATGGAAACCTTCACCTTCAGACTGAGCTGCTCCCACCTTTCAAGAAGACTTTCCATTTTCGCAGAGCTTACAGATTCGGTCCCACACCTCTTCACAAGCGGCTGCGATGCTTAATCACCCTCATTATTCAGAAACGTTCTGCCTTATTTTCTCGTTTGAATTCATCTCACTCCAGTCCCTGGAGCGTGTTAATTTTGTCTGCTAGGAGAGCAAGTTCTGTGCTTTCTTGTGGAGACATTTAATGACTGTGGTCAAGTCAGTCCTCTAAACCTCTCATTGTTAACCTCGGTAGATTGATTTTTTTTATATTTTTTTTTGCCTTGGCAGCTTTCAGGCTCACTCGGGGCTTTGCACTTGTTTTCCTAATCCTCACCGGATCTGTCGGCTTCCACCCCACCTCAAATACAGGCACGGGCTCGGAGGAGCTCGGCCACATGCAGGTGTTCTCAGCAACAGGAGCAGCTCCAAGGTCTTTGTGGAAAATTCGCTCCAGATTTCTCAGGTCAGCTGTATGATCCAGCTGCCGGAATATTTCTCCTGGGCTGCTGCTGTTTAACATCTTCCTGCTGGCAGAGGCAGCCTTTCGCCACCGGTCTGGAGGCTGTGATACTCAGTTTCTTTTTTCCCGTGAAATATTTGCTCAATATTTTTGCGTGCGAATCTTTTGACATGCCAAAAATGGAAATACTTATTAAATATCTCCCATAGCGGGTTCGCTCTCCCCGTTCCTGCACAAAGACCTCTCTGCATGCTGTGGCTTAGGGATCTGTTCTGATACCCCATCAAGGAGAGCATTTTGTGGATTGCTTTTCTCTTGGAGGTCGATTTGCAGAATTCCCCCATTTTAAAGGTTCTCGTGCTCTCCTGCCGGCTTTATTTTGATTTCCCTCCGTTCTTCGTTCTGTCCCTCCCCGATGCTGCCGTTCTCCTTCAAAATAACGCAGGTTATTGCTGTTGGGCATCTCAGCTGTTTCATTCCCTACTTCTATCAAATGTAACTTCTTCAGTCTCTGACATCTGCCCCTTACAAAACATCCCAAAACACTTTGCAAACGTGCACCGATGCGTATGGCGAGGATAACTCTTTTAAAAAAAGAGCTGCAAAACAGGCCGTGTTCAAAGCTAAATCAAGAAGGCTGAGACGTGTCTCCCTCTGATGTAGGAGCTGGAAATTTAATTGTGTTACACAGACTGTGAGCTGGTGAGCCCTGTGCTCGTGTCCAACATTTCATCCACCAGTACCCCCAAGTCTTTTTCTGTGGGGCTGCTCTCCAGCACATCATCTCCAGCCTGGATGGGTAATGAGGATTGCCCCAGCCCAGGTGCAGGACTCTGCACTTGTCCTTGTTGAACCTCGTGGCCCCACTTCTCCAGCTTGTCCAGGTCCCTCTGGAAGACATCCCGTCCCTCTGGCGGATCGACCGCACCACTCACCTTGGTGTCACCTGCAAACCTGCTGAGGGTGCACTCGATCCCACTGCCTCCGTCATCAGCGAAGAGTTTGAAGAACACTGGTCCCAGCACGGACTCCCGAGGGACACCGCTTGTCACCTGGCTCCGTTGACCAACGTGACCATCCGACCCACTCCTTAACCACCAAATCCGTGTGTCTCTCATCACATCCGTATGTCTCCAGTTTAGAGAGAGGGATGGTGTGGGAGACCGTGTCAAAGGCCTTGCGTGAGTCTGGAGAGGTGACATCCATGGCTCTTCCCTTGTCCGCTGAAGCAGTCACTCTGTTGCACGAAGCTACAAGGTTGCTCAGGCGGGACTTAGAATCACAGAGCTTGAAGATCATCAAGTCCAGCCTTTGTCCCAGCCCTATCAACCTACTAAACGATTTCCCCCAACGCAACATCCACCCAACTTGCCCTTGGTGAAGCCGTGCTCGTCTTGGATCACCTCCCTGTCCTCCCTGTGCCTTAGCAGAGCTTCTAGGAGGATCTGTTCCGTGACCTACCCAGGCACAGAGGTGAGACTGACTGGTCGGTAGTTCCCAAGGTCTTCCTTTTTACCCTTTTTAAAAATGGGTCTAAATTTCAGGGTGCAAATACCCTGTTTTCTGTCGACTGTGCTCAGCAAGGGCTTTGCTCAAAGGTTCATGGCACTTGCTTGGGCTCCAGAGGAGGCCGGACACGTACTTGGAAGTGAGAGCCGGGGAGGACACACATCGCAGCAGGTGCTGGAGATCCCCAGAGCTGAAGGTAGCTGAGGGTCAGCACAATTCAGAGAGAAAAATTCCACTGATGGGACTTAGTCTTGGATATTAGGAAGAATTTCTTTACTGAAAAGGTTGTCAGCCATTGGAACAGGCTGCCCAAGGAGGGGACTGAGTCGCCGTCCCTGGAGGTGTTTAAGAGATGGGTACATGTCACGTTGAAGGACGTGGTTCGGTGGTGTTGATAGGGCTTGGAAGAGGTTGGACTCGATGATCTTGAAGGTCTCTTCCAGCTGAAACTGTTCCATGATTCTGTGAACCAGGGAGCATCACTGCACCAAGCTAATGCTTGCGACGGATGGAGGAAAAACCTGGCCCATGTCCTGGTGTCCTGGTGTCAGCCAACTGCCAGATGTCAAATCCAGTCCAACCCAGGGGGTGTCTGATATTAAAAGGGTAAGAACTACTTAGCCAACAGGCCGAGGAGCAGGAGACCTTTGATTTGAACCAGGGCATCGCTTTTGGGCTCCACAGCCCAGATCTAGGCTGCAGGTGACTGAGTTTTGACCCTCTCGGCCTCAAAATCCATCACTTATCTGCCAGATGAGCCTAGTGGAGTGGTGTTACTGGTTTGGCGAGCGAGCCTCACCGAGTCTGAAACTGTTCAGTTGGGCTGAGAACCTGTGAAAGTGCCATCCCTGGAGATGTCCAAGGCCAGGTTGGATGGGGCTTGGAGCAACCTGGTCTGGTGGGAGTGAGGTGTCCCTGCGAGAAAGATCAGCGTCTGTCCTGAAGAAGGGCTGTGCTGGCAGGACGAGGAGGATTTCTTGTAAAATTTTCCATTGGTATCTTAGCCAGGATGCCCTTGGATGTTGCTCCCCGGAGAAGCACGAAGATAACCAGCTGTCCTTTCCCTTTCCTTTTAGACTTGCACCAGTTCAGAGCTTTTCATGACCTTCGATCACCTCCCTGTTTTCGTTGGCGTGCGAGGAAATAACGCAGAAACTCTTCCAACCCCACTTTCCTTCGCAGAGGGGTCGCCCTCCCGAGCCGGCGACGCGCCTCTCGCGTCCACCCCTTGTCCATCCGTCCATCCATCCCTGTCCCCCCCTTCCCCGCTGTCTCCCTGGCAACGCTGAGTGCACATCCTGGAAAACTTTATCCGAAATCTGCTCTGGGCAGCTTTCCAAATCCATGCTAACCTGATTAGGTGTCTCTGGGGCCTTGGCTGGCTAATCAAATTAGATAGCACTAATGGTAGTGAGGAGTTTGAGTGGGTAGAGAGCAGTAAAACATAGTGTATACTTAGTGATAATTATACTTGCTTTTGTGTCATTGATTTATATGTCTTCCCTCCTCCTCCTCCCCCCTCCCTTTTTTTTGTTTTCCCTTGTCTTTTAAATGCAGCGATCCGGAGGAAGGAAAATGGCTGGTACGACGAGGAGCACCCGCTGGTCTTTCTTTTCTTGGGATCATCTGGAATAGGTAACGTCTGGGTGGTGGTGAGAAGGGACAGAGAGCCCTGTGGAGAGGCTGGGCTGCTCCTCAGGCTCAGCACAGGTCTTTTCCTCATAAAATAACCAGTTAAAGGTGCCCACTTCCCAACTGGTCACCCCAATTCCTTGTCCCACTGGGTGACATCCTGTGCTGGGACACACGCTGAAATGTCCTGGAGGGACTGTCTGCCTTCCCAAACCTCAGGGAAAGGTGTTTTTCACAATTAAAAGTGTTATTTTAATAAGCCCTTTCCAGTAGGAATGTGTCCGGGGGTGGGGTAAGAGAAGAGATTTGCTGCTTGCAAACCAAATCTCGGCTCACCAGGATTTGCTTTGTAACGCTGGGGTTTCACTGACACCCATCCTGTTTGTCCCGGAGCACAATAAAATGCAACACGACGGCTGATCCGTTCATGAAATGAACAAAATTACTTTTAGCCAGGGCAGAAAAAAATAAAAACGGAACGAAAACAAAACAAAAAGCAGCTTTAAAGTAACGAAACGGCGACGTTTGAAACCACCTCGATGCTTCTGCGTCCACTGACTCCTCTGGGCCTTGGGAAGGGGCCGGTGCTGGAGGGGTTAAGGCGACGGGCCACACGCAGGGATGTGTCAGAGCAACAGCCAGGCAAGTGTTAACTCCAAACGAGTCACTCTGAAGCTGGATAAAACCAGAGAGAAATGTTTCTGAGACTTCATTGCCCGGCTTATCGCGGGTCCGAGGGCTCGGTAGCATCCCCGGTCAGCTCTCTCACTCCCCATCCATCTCCCTGCCTTGGTTTTTTTTTTCCTTTTTTTTTGCTGCCACGAGAACGAATATCAAAATAAGAAAGCGAAGAGGCTGAGAAATTTTATTACCTCGAATGGACATGTTTTATAGAGGTCTTGATGTAACAGCGATCTGAAAGCCCAAATATGTGCCGCCTGAAATATCTAACGTGTCTTCACCTTGTGGTAGATTCCCACAGCAGCTGAGCACTTTCTAGATCCGTCCATACGTAAGTATGTATCTAATATGTGCAAGCACACGTATGGACCTACGTGCTTACACGTGCTGAAGCCAACAAAGCTCAAACTGAAATAAGATGCTACAGTTTGGCCCTTCCTACCTGCCAGGGCAGCCCTTTTGTGGCGATCTAACGAAGCAGCTCTGAGCCACCCCAGTTTCTCGTCGCCGAAACACCCCTCTGGGTGGGACCAGGGCAGACGTGTGATACTCCGGTAAAACCGTACTTTCTTGTAGCCAGTTTGGTTTTTAAAACACAATTTTTTCATTTCCATTTCAATTCTCCACCTGGTCAACTCAGCAATTCCGTGCCGGTGTGTGGCAGCAAGGCAGAAGGGTTTGCTGGCAGAGCCGAGGATATTTCCAACCTAGGGGTAGAGCCTGTCTGTTTAATGGATTTTTTTCCCTGGTTGGGTAGGTTGGGAGGATGAGATCCAGCCTTTTGAGAGCTGGTGTGTTTGTGTTTATCCATGTCAGGGTGGATTTGCTCCATTCCTGAGTGCTCCTAATCGTAGAATTTTATGACAGTCACCTTCTATTAATCAAAGAAAGAAAGAATATCCCCTTCCCCTGAAATTCTTTTGAGGGTAAAAGACGTTGTGCAGGAAACTGAGGGTATCGAGAGTAAACAGAGCAGAAACCTGATCAAACCACACCTTATCGTGAAAAAAAATAAAGATATTTCTCTGCCCATTGTGAGAATCAACTATTGAAAATGAAGCAGCCGCGTGGTGACACTGCTCTCCTAATCGACCCCGTAACTGCTGCCTGGCCCTGGCACCCTCTGCAGGGTGTTATCCCCAGGATCCAGCAGGGATATTCCCCTTCCCACGAGCGCATTTGCAGAAAAAAACACGTGTTTTGGTTCTGAGGAGGGTAGTGCCAGCCCCAGTGTTGGCACAGCTGACCGACAGACATCGGACAAACCTGGTTTAACGCTTTTCTTCTTTGGAACAGGTAAAACCGAGCTGGCCAAGCAGACGGCCAAGTACATCCATAAGGACGTCAAAAAGGTAACGCCGCTTCCCTTCGGCTTTTTTTTTTTTTTTTTTTTTGATTTTAGATTGTAAAAATCTAAATGGATTTCACGGTATTTCGTGTTGCCCCTTGGAGGTTGCCGTTGTTTTGACACGCTGCGTTGTTAAGGTATTTTTTCGCCGCTGTTCCTAATAACACTGTAAATTTTTAGAAGGATAAAATACTAAAAATCCATTTGAAACGTCCCCAAGCTGCACCTCTTGTTGCGTTGTACCGGTACGGACGGTGGAGATGATGACATTGATTTCGTGCTCGGATTCTTAGCACTGAAACGTTTGGGATCGCAGAACAGTTCAGGATCAAAAAGACCTTTAAGATCACCGAGTCCCACCTCACACTGCCAGAAACTGCTGGGATGACATTGATTTCGTGCTCGGATTCTTAGCGCTGAAACGTTTGGGATCACAGAACTGTTCAGGATCAAAAAGACCTTTAAGATCACTGAGTCCCACCTCACATTGCCAGAAACTGCTCATGTCATTTATTTTTCTATCCACTCCGCACTTTGTAGAATTATTTCGTGGTGGTAGTGGCTTGGCAAGAGGGAGAGTGCAGGGATGTCTGAGATTTTAGAAGCCCAAATGTTTAAAGACGGGCTCCCCGATTCCCATTTAAACCTCTGCCTGCCTTGGAGCTCTCTCCCAGGAAGAACTGGGGAAGGAGGGAAGCTCAGAGCTGGGGAAAAAAGAGGAAACATGAGCAGAGCTGCCCCCTGCGCCGACGGCAGATTAATTCCTCTCCCCTACATCCTCCAGCGGAGAATGGACGCAAGATAAAATGACGCGGGTAGACGGAAGATCAAAAGCAAACCAACGCTATAAAAAAAATGGCAGCCCTGGTTTCTTTTCCTCGTCCTTCCATAATTACTCTTCCGGAAGAAATAAATCTCAGGCTCCTGGATCTCAAGCACCTTCATCCCCGACTCCCGCACCTGGAACTGGTCAGTGCCCGGCCGAACATCAAACGGAGAGATCCGTTAAACACCGAGTGTTGTGTTAATTCAATAGCACGCACAAATCGGAGTTTTATTGGTGATGAATCAGCTCGGCCGTCACGGCTGTAACGAGCGGAGCGAGGAGGTGGGGGGAGTCATAAACCCCACAGGCGGTGACGATGCAGGAGCTGGCGAATTAAAAAAAAAAAAGAGGAAAACCCGCAACCGTCCCGTTTTCATCCTGCTAGAGAGGCTACAAGGCCATGAGAAATGCCAAACCTTGGTGGTATTTTAATATTTCGCGGGGAAATGTGGCCACTTTGAATGGAAATCTGTCTTAAACTGGTCTAACTCTTTACTGCCTCCCCACGAAATACCGACGTTTCACAGGAGAGCGGCAAACCAGGCAGATCCTCCTGCTGTCCTCCATCCCTTGGGTGTCACTGCCATGGGTTGGTGCCCCAAGAAGAAGAGCTCCAGGCTCCTTTTGCACTGCCGATCGTCCCACCCCTTAGCTCTGAAGCTGAATATTTAAACGGGGCTCTGAGCCACCTGATCTGGTTGAAGATGTCCCAGGACCTGGACTAGATGTTCTGCCAAGGTGTCTTCCAACCCAACCCATTCTGCGATTCCGTGATCCCCGTGTGACTGTGTGTGACTATCTCACACGGTCTGTAGCTGTTGTTGGAGGATAATATTTCTATTTAAGGTCACCCCCCACAAACCCGCTTTACCTCAGCTTTACGATTTTGATTTTTCCTTTTATTTTTAAGGACACACATTGTGTTCTTCTTGCGATTTACTCCTACAAAGGTGAACCGCAAGAATACCCATTTTGTTTAGCAAACTGCAAGTTGCTCTTTCAGTCCCATCTGTATCGCTCGGGCTCTGGCGACGAACAGAGCATCTGAAGTGAATTTCAGCCGGGAGCTGTGAGCTGGAAGTGGCAACTCTTCCTCACTCATCTTCTCATCACCTCTGAGTTTTGTGGTGGATCTGACCGCTCCAGGACCGGCCGTCCTCAGGAACCCCAAACCCATGGGTTCATCCCTGCAGCCACCTGGAGGAACCTTCTAAATGTGACGAAACTTGGAGCACTTTCATCCGAAGTCACGTTAAGTGTTTCCTTCTCTTGCAGGGTTTCATCAGACTGGACATGTCGGAGTTCCAGGAGAGGCACGAGGTTAGTAAACGGGCTGTCTTTGCTTCAAGGGCTGCAGCTTTGAGTTTTAGGGGTAATTTAAACAAATGCTGTCATTCTCCTGTGTGTGGTCCCTGTCCTGGGTGGTGCTGAGCATCTCCTCGCTGCCACTCAACATGATGAGCATCTCCTGTCTCACCCTCGTAGCAGCGTCCAGGATCTTCCCCAATTTCTTAGAATCATAGAATCATAGAATGGCCCAGGCTGGAAGGGACCTTAGAGATCATCTGATCCAACCCCCTGCCATGGGCAGCGATGCCTCTCAACCAGCCCAGGTTGCTCAAGGGCTCGTCCAACCTGGCCTTGAACACCTCCAGGGAGGGGGCAGCCACAACCCCCCCAGGGGGGGGGCCAGCCACAACTTCTCTGGGCAATTTATTCCAGAGTCTTGCCACCTTCAGACTGAAGAATTTCTTCCCAAGATCCAATCTAAGCCCATTCTCGTTCAATATAAATCCATTTCCCCTTGTCCTGTCACTGGACACTCTTGTCAAAAGTCCCTCCCCAGCCTCCCTGTAGGTCCCTTCAGGCACTGCAGGCAGGGATAAGGTCCCCCCGGAGTCTTCTCTTCTCCAGCTGAACAACCCCAGCTCCCTCAGCCTGTCCTCGCAGCAGAGCTGCTCCAGCCCCTGGATCATCCTTGTGGCCTCCTCTGGACTCGTTCCAACAGCTCCATGTCCCTCTTACAGTGGGGACACCAGAACTGGACGCAGGATTCGAGGTGGGGTCTCACCAGAGCAGAGCAAAGGGGCAGAATCCCCTCTCCACCTTCTCCAGAAAATGAGTGGTTTGATATGTCAAAAACCACGGGGCTGTGGCGCAGAGCCCACCCGTCCCATCACTCCTCCTGCCACCAAGGTCACCTCCGGAGCTGGGGGAACCCCGAATCCCTTCAAAGGGCTCTGTCTCCCCAAAAACCAACAAGATCCCAGCTGAGATAGGTTCATAACAATATTTTTTCTTTCAATGACTGTGTAGGAGTTTTTATTGATGCCGATGGTGAGGTGCACCCAAGCACAGGGTGAGAAGTATCTGTGAGGAACCGTCCTCGTAAAGACTGAAGCCTTATTTTGTGGAGACAGGGAAGAAATTTTTCAGGCCAGGCTGGATGGGGCTCTGGGCAGCCTGATCTAGTGGGGATGGTGGAACTGGATGAGCTTTAAGGTCCCTTCCAACCCTGACCATTCTGTGATTCGAAGAAGGAGAAGCACCAGGCAGGGATCAGGCAGACCCTCGCGCTCGGGGTGCCAGGGGCTGTGATACGATAGGGTAGGAGTGAAAAATAGGCAAAACAGATAAAAATAAAGCCGTGTCGATGATTTGGTACAAAGAAAGAGGAGTTAGAAGCAGCGATATAAATGTAAAGAGATAAAATACCATACCCTGACAAAGATGAGAGGCAGGGCAAAGGGAAGGAATAAAGCAGAGAATTGCAGCGAGAGCAATATACATTTTTCAAGCAAACAAGGATCAGGAGGTCAGCCGAGGAGACGGTGTCTCCTTTGAAGGAGCCCAGGCAGCCTCACGTAGCCCCAGGCACTGCGAAACGAGGGAATTAGCTGCTTTCTGCTGGAGAAAGGGGGAGCAAAGGCAAAAAGGAGCCTCTTGAATGAGAGAATCACAGAATCACAGAATGGTTTGGGTTGGAAGAGACCTTTAAAGGTCATCTAGTCCAACCCCCCTGCCATGAACAGGGACATCTTCAGCAGATGAGGTTGCTCAGACCCCATCCAACCTCCCGTCAGGTGTTTCCAGGGATGGGGCTTTTACCACCTCTCTGGGCAACCTCTGCCAGTGTTTCACCAACCTTATTGTGAAAAATTTCTTCCTTCTATCCAGTCTGAATCTCTCCTCTTCTAGTTTAAAACCCTCGCCCCTTGTCCTGTCGTTACACACCTTTGCAAACAGTCCCTCCTCATCTTTCTTATAAGCCTCCATCAAGAATAAAAGGCTGCAATAAGGTCTCCTCAGAGTCTTCTCTTCTTCAGGCTGAACAACCCCAACTCTGATAATTCTTTTCCACTTTTGTACACCCAAAGACACACCCACAGACCTCGGCTGCTTGAAAGCACTCCAAGCTGTGTGTCAAAAATCCCTTGCCAATTTTGCCAAAACATTTCTATTGTCAGAACTGTTCTTCGAAGTCATCTTCTGCTTTTTTTAACCCCATTTAAGAAATGAAGATGTCAAGTAGTTGAAGTCAGTTATTGACACAAGAAAAATACTTTTGTTGTGGCCTCTTCACAAGCTTCGATTCCCTGCCAGAGCTACCTTCCTTTGAATCCTTGCTCTCAATCCTGAGTATCCTTGAATTCTTGTTCTTAAAAAGGCTAAAAGAAATAAAAATGGGTCTTGTGCAGCTGGGATGGGTCACCTGGACGCTCTTTAGGAAGGGAGGGTGATGCTTCTTCACCTGCCCATGCCTGTTCTGGCAGATTCTGCTGGTTAAACCTCTGGGCAAGGTAATTGCTTGGCAGCCACCGATCTGCATTTTGCCAAATTCTTGCTTATTAAGCTGATTTTGGGATACCCTGGGGTGCCATAGATGTCGCAAGAAATATAGAACTTGATTTCTCTGCAGCAAATAGTCCTGGCCACCTGCTGAGCTTTGTTCTGGACATCCACAGGTCGGCTTTAACGTGTCCTGTCGCTTCCTCCCAGGTGGCCAAGTTTATCGGCTCCCCTCCGGGCTACGTGGGCCACGAAGAGGGCGGGCAGCTCACCAAAAAGCTGAGACAGTGCCCGAACGCCGTGGTGCTCTTTGACGAGGTCGACAAAGCCCACCCAGATGTCCTCACCATCATGCTGCAGCTGTTCGATGAGGTAAATCCATGTTCTGGAGTCAGGGTTTGCCCAGGGGCCGTTTGGAAGGGGACGGTGCAAGGGATGATGATGTCCTGGAGTGGAGCTGAAATGCTCCACATCGACAGACCCCTCCAAAAAAAAATGTGAACCAACCTGTTCTCTGTTTTAACAGCAAGAAGTAGGATGATGCCGAGGTCTCCTGGTGAAATAAATGATGTCTTTAGGCAAATTATAGAGTTGTAGAATCATAGAATGTTGAGGGTTGGAAGGGACCTCTAGAGATCCCCCAGTGCCACCCTCTGCCAGAGCAGGGTCACCCAGGGCAGCCCCACAGGAACGCGTCCAGGCGGGTTGGAAAGTCTCCAGAGCAGGAGACTCCACACCCTCTCTGGGCAGCCTGGGCCAGGGCTCCGGCACCCGCACAGCCAACAAGTTTCTCCTCACGTTGAGCTGCAACTTCCCATGGTCTAACTCAAACCCATCATTCCTTGTTCCATTGCTGGGCACCCCTGAGCAGAGATTGTCCCCTTCCCCTTGACCCCCACCCCTCAGATATTTCTCTACGTTCATAAGGTCCCCTCTCAGCCGTCTCCTTTCCAGGCTGAACAGCCCCAGGTCTCTCCGTCTCTCTTCCCAGCAGAGATGTTCAGTCCCTTGATCCCCCTCGTAGCTCTCCCTTGGACTC